AGGGTACACCACGGGGAGGTAGATCTGTAGGCGTACCCCTTTTTCATTAAAATAAAATTAATTAATTAGACATAAAGTAAAATAAAATTGATTTAAAAGGATTAAAAATGAAATTTTAAGTGAAATTTACCTTTCAATCCTGTATTTTCAATTAGGCATTAGTTCTTTTAGAATCTTTGAGCTTAGTTCTCTTTTTTTTCAATTCTGTTTTTTTTTTCACTTTAAATGAATTTTGTTTTTTAGTAGTAATCTTTCTTTCAACTGTGAATTGAAAATATGAAATTGTTCAGAATAAGTAATCGATATATTGCTACAGAACATTTTCTTCATAAATATTTCTCCTTTCTTGTTTCGAATTATTAGATATTTATATAAGAGTAATAAGCCATACTGTTTAAAAATACTTATCTTTTCAGTACAGTCCTTGCTCTTACGGATGTTCAGTGAATGGAATCTATCAGTATTACAATGAAAAGGATTTCACTAAGTGTGGAACCAATAAAGTAAAGATCATTTCTTCTATATCTTAGATTATGATTATTATTAGATATAAAGATTACTTCTATATCGAAAAAAAAATCTCATTTTTTTTAATAAAATGCTTTTCCCTAGGGCTCGAAGAAACTCAGAAATTTTACCTGTCCCCGAGGACGGCTTGTCCAACAATGCACCCGTCCTCCTATGAAATTAACTCGTAGCTTCTAAATAAATAAAAATATAATTTTCTCTTATTTATTTCAAACATTTATATAAATTGCACAATGAATTAGTAGCTACTAGGATTACAAATACTAGGATTACATTATACAGTAATAAAAGAAATACTAGATTACTAATAGTAACCTAGTATTTCCTTTAGGAAATAATTTCTTTCTTTTATGAAATAATTTAAACGACAAAGGTCAAGTTATCAGGAATGTCAATTTATCCGAGGGTACTGCGTTTATTAAATGAATCAAATATGACGTTTACCAGTTCCACAATCAAGCCAATGATTTACAGAGGTTTCTGCGCAGAAATCTGAAAGGAGTTTTCCATTTAGGTAGAAGTTCATAATTGCGTTTAACGCTTCTTGTTTAAGACCAGTACGTATTGTGTTTTTTTGTAAATTCATTGCTGAAAAGCCCCTTTCAACCGCTGCAGTACTCTCAGACAGAGAAAACATCAATTCCACCATGCGCAGTATGTTGCTGTATTGTGGGTCATATTGCTGCATTAGGTCTTTATAAATAGCTTGGACTCGGAGGGCTGAAGTTTTCTGGTGTTTAACGATGTTATGTATCTTAAATTTTAATGACACCTATTCTTGAGAAAATTTTTCTTTATCTACTTTTTCAGAAAAGCAAAGGCTGACGAAGGANAATTATATTTTTATTTATTTAGAAGTGACGGGTTAGTTTCAAAGGAGGACGGGTACATTGTTGGACAAGCCGTCCTCAGGGACGGGTAAAATTTCTGAGTTTTTTCGAGACCTGGTGTGGCTATGCTTAGTAATCTCAATTGCTTGGAAGTGACGTACACAAATTTTCTTTCGGTGGATCGTGCATAGATATCGATTTGAAAATCTTTAACTAAATCATCAAAAATAAAAAGAGAAAATTGAATGGTTTTAATTAATTACTGTTTAATAGTCTGAGCCACTCTGAGTCAGGGGATAGAGCATTCACCCATTGAGGTAACCCTGGTTTGAATCCCAGCTGTGGCTGACACCAATTATGCCTCTGGCTAGGGCTGATAACAGTGCTGATGCAAAATATCCTCAGTGGTAGACGGATTATGTGTTAGAATCCCATTGGTGACGAGTTAACTGTGGAAGGTCTTTGTGGGTTTCCTCTCCATGTAACACAAATGCGGGTTTATTTCATAAAAAAATTCCTCCACGAAGGCTAGCTCGTACCAATGCTTAATTCAGAAGTTCCCTTGTCTTCTGAGGGGATTGAAAATTACAAGGTTACGGAGTTGAACATCGATAGTCGTATTATCAGAAATGAGTCAACTGTGCAACACCGGTTATAAAACATTAAAAAGTGTACTTAAATTCGAAAGTAAATATGCAGTTGTAACTTTAAAATGACGCAACTAAATATTATCACGAATATTAAAATAACGCGTTAATAAATTTCACAATTAATTTGATTCTAAAATAAATATGGTTACTAGTTAGATAATTTTTTATAAATAAATATTTTAATTTTAGATTATGTTACCCATAATAAATTAAATACAACTTTTCCTTTTGGGAAAGATTCTATGCTTTAACTTTTACTTTTGCTAACAGCAGTTTATATATAATTACCAAAATTGGCAACCTATATAATGTTTTTTAAACTGCTGTACAGTCTGCATAAAAAATAAACACAGCAGACATAAATTATTTTATTTCGGTATTCTGAGGTCAAGTTTGAAATGGAACGATATAGATGGTAAAATAGTGTAATTTCCTTCCTTATCTCATACTTTTCTTATTTTTTGTACAAAAATATATTTTATTAAACGAATATTACAATTGGGAAGAACTTTCCTTTTTGTTCGTGTAATTATTTGTTACAATGTTTTGAAAAGCACAAAAATATAAATGAATATTTTTTTTTAATATTTATGTTCTTTTAAGGAATTATTTAATTTTGGTTTTTAAATCATTTAGATTTGCTACAGTGGCCAATGCCGTGATATCGGTTACACCAGTATCTGTCAGAAAATATATGGAAAAGATTTTATAGGATTAGAGGTAAAAATATGTTTTATTTTTTATTTATTTTTATTTTTTTGCATATCTTTTCAGTGAAGTAGAAACATCATTACGCAGAACATGAAAAAAAAAACTATAAGCAGATTATTGTATTTTTCTTATAGGGCATTTTGTATTTTTTTCGAGCTTTAAAATTATTTTGGTTCTGTAAATTGCACGCAACAGTTGAACCAAGATCAGATGCAATTAAGATCTCGATTATACATGAGATTGATCGTTTATTATGCGAAGTTATTACTATTATAATAAAGTGATCGCATTAAAACTTACGAAACGAAATTATTTCTTTAATAATTTTTTGCATCAAAATGCATCATTTATGAAATGAAAGATTGGATCATAAAAATTTTCAAATGCAAACAGTGTTCTAATGCAATATGAAATCTCATGAAAAAAAAAGTTACTCATAACCTATCAAAATTAAATTGTTAAAATAAATAAAATCGCAATCGAAACTAAAAAATATATTTTGATATTCTTTTTGTAAATCTTCGTAAATTATTAAAAAAATTTCGTGAATAATTCAAAAAATTTTCGAAGATAAAACTAATATAATGTGTGAACTTTGCGAGAAGGCCTACAGGCATATGGATTTGCTAATATACCATTAATTCAAACCATCAATTATTTTTAAAAGGTAACAAAACTTATACGTTATTATTACTATCTTAGTTTAACAAAGTTGGTTATAATGATTTTGACCACTACTATAGATAATTTAAATAATTATATACAAGTCTTATCATTGCTCTTTTAAAATTTTAAGTGTTTGC